AAAGCTAGAAATAAATTTATTTATGTCAAATATTTATTTCATTTATTTGTTATGTTTGATTTAAATTTTCATTAAATTTTAATAATAAGTTACTTGTTCAGTTGACTGTTAACAACAGTGCGTACCTACTTACCTAAAATCATATAGCTATCAAACCTCTACTATGCCAGCAGTATCCGTAGAAGTTTTCACTTTCCAGTGACATAATATAAAACGTGAATATTTCGTACTTATAAAAGGTACTTACCTCAATTTGACTGGTGCTGTATAGCTCCCTATGCTTAATTTATTCGGTTCACAAATGCATTGAGTAGGTATTCAAAATTATAAATCAACTTTCGAAATCAAGTAGGGAATGATTAATTGAGCCACATAGTAACGTTTGGCGAAGAAGAAAAAACAAATGAAAAATGACGGGAAATTGTTTTTATGTCAAATTTTTAATGGCGTCAAATTAAAACCAGCCAGACTAAACAGACCAAAGAGATTTTATTCAAAATGCGATCATTGTCATGCGTAGTCGTAGAAGCTAAAAGAGTATTAAAGGACAGTGCCAATCCATGTATGGAAGTTGGACCAAGTGCTGCCCAGAATGAAACTATAGTGCATTTTGTTCCTCAGGCCAATACTAATTTGTAAACCGGAGCGCACTGAAATCTATCCCTGGAGTTAAGAGAAAAAAAGAGTTTTGTTTTGAATTATTTACATACAAAATATCATCGATGTATACCTACTACGCATAAGATTTCGCGATTTTGGCATTAAATAACACTCGCTATGTTGAATTTAACCATACTGCATCCGTACACCTTACTTTAGTACGACTTCGACATTATTTATAAGCGATCAAGCGCTGTTTTAGTAGTTTAGTTAGTTGACCGAAATTAATTATTTCCAAAATGGAGCAAGAAGTTTTAGCTTACAATAACTTCAATAATCGATTGTAATACACCAATAAATTGATTTTTCGCAAGGATAGAGAACTAAAACTTCTTGCTTCATTTTGGGAATAATGATTTCTGTCAACTAACCAAACTATTCCAACAGCGTTAGATCGCTTATAAAGAATGTCTAAGTCGCACTAAAGTAAGGTGTACGGATGCAGTATGGTTAAGTTTAACATAGCGAGTGTTATTTAATGCCAAAGTCACGAAATCTTATGCGTAGTACGTATATATCGATGATATTTTGTATGTAAATAATTGAAAACAAAACTCTTTTTTTCTCTTAACTCCAGGGATAGATTTCAGTGCGCTTCGGTTTACACATTAGTATTGGCCTGAGGAACAAAATGCACTATGGGTTGATTCTGGGCAGCACTTGGTCCAGACCCTGGCACTATCCTTTTATTAAAGTATGTAGCGCTATTGATAATAATAATTTAAGTATTGAAGGAATATTATGATGTATTTCTATATGGTGGTAGGTGTAGTGCGTATACTGGCTACATAATATAACGTTACTAATTTATTGTTGATTTTTTTTTTTGCTTAATTCTGATAAACTTAGTTCTGATTTAAAGGTCACCTTAGTTTGACTAATCGTGCCGGTCGACACTTATAAATTTATAAAGTGCTTATTATCCCACATAAATATAAAATAAGCACATTTTTATTATACCTCAGCATTGCCAATTATATGTAAGCTGGCGCTGCGAAAATACCGGTCGAAAACCAGAAGGCAATTGATATAATTTATGGTTTCCCTTACAATATTTAGCGGCCGGTAAGCATTTGGTTTCGTAAGAGCCCTTAGGTTTTTTATTGCGTCACTGCTTCGCGATTCAAGGGCAGACCCTCGAAGTATAATATTTTAGTAGTAATCCCGCGGACGGAATAATCTGGTGCGTGGGAGCGTTCTCTAACAACGGAACCGGGATTTATTGGGAAACCGGTGCAATTTACACGTCTTATCTTACCGGTACCGGGATTAAATAGTAGGAAGCGCAGGTTCTCTTGGATCCCCGGATAATTTGTGATGAAATATGTACCGTAGGTTGGAAACAACGTTCGTTTTCAGGCACTTTTCTTCATGTAGAGCTTGAGTATTGAATTGATTACTTATTGTGTTATTGAATTGTTAATCTTATTGGGCTCGTACCTACTGGAAAAAATATGTCCGTAATAAACCTAAGTACTGATTGTGAATAGGTACATTTAAATAACAAAATATTATGTTTCATCGTTTGAATAGGACTTGATTAGTACCTATTCGTCATTTTAATAAAATATATGTAAGTGTATAAAAATGTTATGTATGTACAGTCGCGGAATGAAAAGGTTCGTCACCTTAGTGTCGGTTTTCGCTTGTACTGTAAGAGTCAAACCTGCCAACATAACAGTGCAAGAAACAGTGCTGCTAACATTTAAATAAATAATGATGACGTTTGCTAACGAATAAGGTTTTGCTTGTTTATTTTTCTATCCCATCAGTGCAATGCAATGATGACATTGACCAATTGACAATAGTTTTTTTTATTTATTAGAAATAATAATGGCAGGTTGAACCAACAAGAAGGTTTTAGTTTATCAATCATAATAATCTTCTTGACAAGATAAATCGTCAAACAACTTTGATCTGAATAATTTTGAACTTTACTGACGAACAGTTAAAGATTATTTTCTCTAACTCGAGATTATTCTGTAACATAGTTTCAAAAGGTAATATGTGCTCGCGATTCGTTGAAGGAATCAATTTGAAAACTGACGAACCTTTTCATTCCGTGACTGTACTACATTGGTTGGCACCTGACATTCAAAATAGTCATATAATGCATTTCGCAAAAACTCGCTGAAAAGTGCTAATTGGGTGGATGTCCTCCAACATGTATTTTTTTTTGTATTGGGTAATAAACATTTTAATAAGTAGATGTTTTTGTAAATGCACAAAAACGCAGTTGACCATGGTGTGTCATTACCATATCACGAAATAAATATAGGTAGTTATAAGTCTAAATAAATATGAAGTACCTACCAATGTCTGTTGGTCTTCAAATCATAAAGTTACGTTTAAATCTCAGCGGCGCTCTTTCGACACTTACTTGTCGTTGTTTTTAGGGTTCCGTAGCCAAATGGCAAAAAACGGAACACTTATAGATTCGTCATATCTGTCTGTCTGTCTTTTTTTTGTCTATCTGTCTGTCTGTCCGTCCGTGTCACAGCCACTTTTTTTCCGAAACTAAATATAAGAGCTATACTGTTGAAACTTGGTATGTAGATGTATTTTGTGAACCGCATTAAGTTTTTTATACAAAAATAGAAAAAGATCAATAAATTTTGGGGGTCCCCATACTTAGAACTGAAATTAAAAAAAAAAATTTTCATCAAACCAATACCACACGTATCGATGGTAGTAATTGTTATAATTTACTCTTATTACTGGTTGTGTATCTCAATAAAGTCCTTATCTATCCTAATCTAATAACTAGTCAGTCCGTGACACGTGTCTCGTATAAATGCCACGGAGATTTACTAGGGAATACTATTCACACATCGTACTTTAACACCCAATCTTGCCTGGATTAAGTAGTATGGAATAGGGTTGCGGCCTTGCGGCTGAATACTTGACTATCGATAGGAGAACTAAGGCTGGGTTGTACCATCTTCCTTTAACTTTGACAAACGTCAAAAATCTTTCAAACTCCATAATATAAAAACACCGGTTGTCGTTATAGTTACGGTCAAAGTTAGGTGGTGCAACTCAGCCTTAGAATATACCTACTCGTAACTACATTATATTTTTATGTTATTAATAATAACAATAAGGAAATATTAATATAATAACCTATGGAATAGAAGACGCATTCTTATTTAGGTCCCGATTTTATTTATGGGCATAAATCTTATAAGATTACGATCAAGATGGGATATTTTAATTTAATTTGGGACACATATTAAGGTAGAGACATTTCGAGCTAAATGTAAGTTATTGTGATTCGAGATGAATATTGTTAAAGTTATTTTTCATCTGCCAGTCCTCCAGTCACCTTTAATAACAACGTGACATGCGTGGGCATTTCTCCTTTACAAAGGTTGTTTATTAAGGTAAATCGAAATCAAATTTCATAAATCCATGACGTAGTTGGAAACAACAATTAACTAATCACAGTTCAAAATTAGGTTTAATAACGCACGAGTAAAGCCGAGGACGCGATGTATAAAATAATAGCATGTAAAACGTAACAGGTAGGTACTCCTAAGTTTGCTTGTGATAAGGTACGAGTAGGTGGACGTGAATGGGCGAAATATGACTCTATTTCATATTATTTAGCAAGTCAGCTCTAAGCATGATTCTAAACAGTGTGCTTACCATGAGTTTACGTTAGGTGTGCTCGCTAGCGACTGAGTAAAAAAATGACATTAATTGTATGACATATTGTGCAGCGCCCCTAGCGGCTACTTTCAAGAAACAAAATCTTCATACATAGATATTTTTGACGTACTCGCTAGCGAGCACACCTAACGTAAACTCATGGTAGGTACACAGTATACTGAAAGCCAAATCGATGCTATATCGTCGTGACATTATACGTGTATACTCGTAATCGCACCTACTGAAGCTTGAAAAAAAAAATAGACAACTAAAATATGTTTATAAAAATAATATTTCATGGCACACAATTTCTTTTTTGTTAAAGCACATAGACGAACTCACTTAATGTAGGTATAGTTAAATGGTTTAGCAATGCCTACGTTAGATAAGTATTTGCACAAAGGCTGAAACGGTTTGGCACTCCATTTGCGTGTTCTAGTTTATTCATTTCTCTTATGTCTTCAAATGTCTAAAGGGTATTTACAGAAATGGAAGATAATAGCTGAGAGAGGGTGGCTTACCCTAAGCGCTGGGGATATTTCGGAGATGGGTCGGCCCGATCGGGCCAATACGACCGATTTCTCTATTCCATTAAGGATCAGTTGACAGGTCAAAGTGAACGCAGCCGGCATCATGTATATGAAGAATATTGTCGAACTCTAATACATTTCGTATTGATGCGAACTGACAATGCGGACACGAGCACAGAACGCAAACCGCACCGCTGACAGATTGCCTTGTCTCGACTGCTGTCAGAATATCTTGCTCGAACCAATATGGTTCATACATGATGCGGGCTGCGTTCACTTTGAACGGGCTGTAGACCGCAGAACGCGTGCAGATCGCCATAGCTGGCGCGATCATAGGCCAATGACAGGTCGCGCGACCCATGACAGTCCGTGATGGCGATCTGCACGCGTTGGTGTGGTTGAAGCATCAGTGTGGCAAATCCTTTGAATTAAATATTATTTCATTTGTTTGGCTAAATAACCTTGTCAGTTGCCGTCACTACACACGTCATATTTTGTAACATTGTAATTTCATAGAGACACTTTATATAGGTACTCGTAGTAAATAAGGTGGAGGTTAAAGTATTAATACATTTCCCATTGTGAAAGGACATTGAACTGTGGGCATACATAATTAACGATTTTACACTACAAACATTGCTGACTTCCTAGAAAAATATGTACTTAGTTAATTTTTAATCAAAGACAGAATTGTTAAGGTAAATGATAATTATGACAAGGTAGGTAAGTGATAGGTAATATTTTTTTCTGCTCTAAGGCACATTATCTGCATCCTAACCAGCAGGCGGTGAAGTAGTTTAAAATCCAGCAGCTGATGACAATATATTTTTAAATCTTTTAATAGTCATTGTTGGGAACCGGTAGGTGGACCAACCGCTTTTGATATTTTTGTCTGTTTTTATACTTTTTTTACTCTTTTTGATACCTTTTTTTAGTTTTTGAAGTGTATGTTTTGATAGCAGTCTGGACATTTAATGCAGAAATAAACCTTTATTTTAAACCGAAGGTATTTTCTTATTTCCGCCCGCCCCAGTGGCTGTCCACTACAGTCATGTTGTTAAAAAAATATAAAATATATACAATTGAAATACCGCAAGTTTAATAGTGGCAATATTTACAGCACAGTACACACCATTCACAACTTGTAATAAAGGCATTTCAGATATGTTCTGTGGTATAACAAAGAGAATATAATTTTGGTCTTGTTTCTCTCACAAGCGTATCCAATAAAGAAACCGCCAACATGAATCATACCACAGAGCCCTACAGTTACATTTTACAGTGAAGTGAAACACCGAAATACGCCGCAATATTGGCCACATAACTTTGCGCTTACTTCCGCAAAATGATGAGTGGCACTAAATGTCCAGAACATTGTAAAATTATGTCCAACATTTACCTTGGGTCGCGAAATACGCGCGGTAATTGTCAAGACAAATTGTGCAAGTTACGAGTACGTGCGACGTGTTATACATTTTCAATATTACAATATTGTCGACGCAAGAACCGCCTTTGGATATTTGACGTGGAGCTTCAATTTCCAGGTGAAATTCACATAGGGTCAAATTCTGTTTTCATTTCGTTCTTGGCAGAGCGGTCGTCGTCACGTTGAGGCGTTGTTCACATCGGTTGTAGAGGCGGATACAACTCTCCGCACGATCTCCCGATCACGATCAACGAAGAAGCAAAAATAACAACAAAGCTTCTATTGGACACCCTAGTACTACTTTATAAAGCCCAATATGTTGTAGATATACAGCATAGGTATTTTATAAAAAACTAATATCGAAAGTGTAGTATCAAATGAACTGTATCTCAATAAAGCTACACGTAACATTCAGGATACATATTAGATCACGTAAGAGATGTGTGTAATAAGGAATTTAATATGCCGTGCGACACGCTACACGTTTTCGTACTAACTTCTCAGTTGAAAATGTTCGTTAGCAAGTATTGTGAATAATGGTTTAAAGAACAATTACTATTATAGAGTAAAAGCCTAATAAATAACAATATAATAAATGACTGCTATTTATGTAAGTAACAATACACTTGCTTAATGATTGATATGTCATTACCGCATCTAGTGTTGTTTGTAAAAATTATCCATTCCGAGGTTTTGTCAAAAAAATAAAAAATTGTGGGTGTTTAAACAAAGTACCTACCAATTCAAGTTTAAATCGTGTACCTAATTCGTATGTTACGAATCGCCCACCAAAAACAAGAGTCATTGACTTATATCGTATAAAACTTTATCTAACCACCGAGGTGAAACTAAATTGAATCAAAAAGTTTTATTATGGCTTAGCGCGTAGATACAAAGCAATAACTTTGAATAGGTTTAATTCTGCCGACGGTTAGAGTTGTAGTCAGCAGACTATTAGTTTTCAATAAAACTGACAATTCATAGAATAAAATCCAACTCTAGAGGAGATTCAAATATTTCAGGAGCATCACGTATTTTAAATTGAAATTCAACAACACTCTCTTGTATGTAAAATTCTGAATTGTTAATCCAGGGTCACAAAGTTCAAAAGTTTTTGAAACGATATTCATTCAGTAAATACATTTTAAAGTAGTCTGCAGATACTTGTATAAGACCTAAGACCTTTTTTATATTTTGACTTAATTTAAACATGACATTAGTGTAATTTTGTTGTATTACCAGCTTGACAGCCTCAATTAAGTTTCAAATAGTTGCTAACATCGCCGCGCTATCAAAGAAAGTTTTTGCTGCTTAACGATAACTAAATATATATCTGCATCCAAGACTAGTGAAACCAAGGTTTTTGTTTATTTATTTGACATAATACTCGTGATCCTTAATATGCTGTTATTAACACATTGGACGCCGTGCGGCTCATTCTCACAATAGATTTCTATTGTGTCTAGAGTCCTGGAAATGCCTTAACAAAGGCATGTATTAATTGAAACTTACATAAATAATGACCAGTATTGTCACACTATTACAGTTGATTGAACTTAAATAATTAGTAAGTATAGTTATTTAACTGAAAATGTTTAGGCCCCCGGGGCTGGAGGTGAGTCTGTCCCGCTCCGTCGAACTTGCGGTAATTAAGTTGCAATGAGTTCTGAGACAGTTAAATCAAATAACGATATCGCGGGTGTCGGCACCCGTCGAGTGCGAAATATTGTCGCTGTTCCAATCCTAATTATAAATATAAATAAATAATAAATAAATCTTTGGACAATTTCACACAGCGCCAGCTAGCCCCAAAGTAAGCAACTTAATGCTTGTGTTATGGGTGCTAGCTTAACGGATATACTACTTATATACTTTTTTTTAAATACATACATATTATACATAGCAACACCCAGACCCGTCACAGAAATTAAAATTCATCACTTCAATTTCTGCCCGGCCGGGAATCGAACCCGGGACCTCTCGGCATAGTAGTCCGTTCTGAACTACTACACCAAACGGCTGACTAAAATATGAAAGTTTGTTATTATTTCAAGCAAAAAGTACTGAACGGATTTTTGATTATTTATAGTAGGTATTATTAACAAATAATGACATTTAATAAGCCTTATTTTAACACTAGCGGCCGCCCGCGACTTCGTACTCGTGGATACCGTTTTACCCCCTTAGGAGTGGAGTTTCGTAAAATTCTTTCTTAGCGGATGCCGACGTCATAACATCTACCTGCATGCCAAATTTCAGCCCGATCCGTCCGGTCAGTCAGTCACCTTTGAGTTATCGCTTCAAATGTCAATTTTTTGTGGTAAGGAAGAGTCAATTATTGAAAATCCTTTGCATGACTAGGTATCACATTATTACAAACGCGTGTGAAGTTGATATAATCACATGATTTTATTATTATTATCAGTTTAATATGAATCATCAGCAGTCATTAGTTCACACTTGGCTAGGTCCAGATCGCTTCCGAAATATGCAATTGCACTCCAGATAAGTCATAATAAAACTATATTAATGTTTAAGAATTACTCTGAAACGGATGGATATTAAATTAAGCAATTGAAGACATACAAGACTGTAATCAATCTATACTAATATTATAAATGCGAAAGTAATTCTCTCTGTCTCTCTTTCACGCCAAAACCACTGAACCGATTTTGATGAAATTTGGCATAGAGATAGTTTGAGTCCCGGGAAAGGACATAGGATATTTTTTATCCCGGGTTTTGAAACAGGGACGCGCGTGATAAAGTTTTTCTGTGACAGACAAATTCGCGGGCGAAGCCGCGGGCGGAAAGCCAGTGTTTAATAATAAATAATGTAACCGATATCTGCTTGAGGCAAGTAGAAAAACATTGAAGTAATAAACAATTTCAAGAAAGCAGTCTCTTTCCTAAGATAAAATAAAACTATCGCAAAGACAAAAATAAAACCCAAACAATATCAAAACGCACAAAGAATGAAAAAGTATGTATTTATTTGATCTACAATAATGACTTTAGCCATGAAAGTAATTTATCGGGGAAACTTGGCACTTTGCCAAGTGTGATAAAGTGTTAACTGATATCAAAAAGTCTGGTACAAACGTGTACAAACGGTCAAATCGAATGTAAGAAATAGGAAATCTCACTGTACTTTAAGTAATTTTCTGCTCTTTTTCTGTTTTTTTTTTTTACTTTTTATAAAATGAGATTCTAATAACGGCTAAAGCGTACCTTTGTTCCACTTTTTTATCCACACTGTATCTACAGCAATGTTGATGGCACTTTAATTCGACAACTACCTTCTTAGAGAGATCACGCTCCAAAGAATCTGGAAATTTATAGACTCAACGGGACTAAGCAGTGAACTCTAAAGACAAGGGCTGCCACAATAGATCAAACCTGGTCGAGATGGCGCAAATGAAGGCCCAAAACCAATAATAATAATAATAGAGAGATCATCATTATCATCACGAGCCCATTACTATCTATTGCTGAACGTTTATAATAATATCTTTAATAATGTATAATACGATAATAAATCTGTATGTAACTTTTTGGGTTATAGATAGACTTTAAAAAGATACGAATAAGCTACCTTTTGTTGCAAATAACTTGAAGAGGGTGAAATAAGGGATGAAAGTTTGTTTGGGTATCAATCATTCTTTTGAAGGTACAGAAATGATTTATATTTGGAATTTTGATAACAATAAAGTGTTTTTGATTTCATAATATCAAAACTTCTTAAAAGAAGATTGACTGACGTGAACGAAGCCACGGTCGGGAACTAGTAAAACATAATTTAACAAGAGAGAAAAAAACGAGTATAACGGTTTATTAAAAAAGTTTATTGCACGAACTGATTCGCTAATTCGAATTCGGAAGACTACATCGTTT